AAATTCTCTTTAGGATTCAGAATTTTTGTTTGAAAACTTGGCCTGTTTTCTGTTAGTAGAATAGGGTTGATTTCTTGATGTTCTGATGATGTATACTTTATCGACATCATCATCCTCTATTCCAATATAGTTGATATTTTTTATTCTATTATATTAAGTCATTTGCTTGTTTTGACTCATTGTAGGTTACTTTTTAGCTAAACAATCTCAAGCATAGTGTCTCTTTTCTCTACAGTTGTAGCAGATAGTAAAAGGTCTCTGGTACTGATTTCTGAATTGAAATTGGGTCCTAGGTTGGTATTGATTTTTGGGTTGGAACTGGGTACTGAATTAAAATTGTTATTGAATTTTTGGTGTAGGTTCAGTAAGTACTGATGCAATAGTTGCATAATTAAGGGTCATTTGTTGCATTTGTTTGGTTAGGTTATTTATATCTTTTTTCAAACTTCTGTTAGCAGCAACTAAACTAGGTTCATTTTAGGCAACAAAATCTTTTTCTTATTCAAATCTTTTTGTAAATCCTAAAGCATCAGCTACAGTGTTAGGATTATATATAAGGATAACAGGAAGAGTTTCTAAACAGAGTCTCTTATTAATATGATATAGCTTTTGGGCATCAGTTAGGTTGTTATTAGTTTTTTCTTGTTGGACAATTCTTTTATATTGACTATAGTAGGCTTCAACTGGTTCATTAGGAAGTTATTTTAATTCATCTAGGTTTCTAATCATTTTGTTTTTCCAGCATTGATTACAGAATTGTGTAATAAAAGCAACTTTTGTTGTATTCCAATTATCTTTTACATTAACTGCAGTAACATTTGTAGAGTAGTAAGCTTGTTGTCATTCATCAACATTTCTTTAAGAAAAGTTGGCATGATTTTTCTCTGTTTGACAAGACTTCAGCTATTAGTAGTTGAAGCTTTTTCAAATTCAGCAATCTAGGCTAAAGGATCCTGAGTTCCATCTTCATGAAAAGGTTTAATGTGAACAACATTTACATCTTTTTCATTTTTTTTTAAATAGTTAAGAATATCAGCTGGATTAGCTATAATATTTTGGTTTTGTTGGTTAGACAAAGGATTAAGTATATAGTATTGGAGATTAAAAAGTATTTCAAAAGAGTTACTATAGTTTTCAAAATCAAGATGATAAGGAGGTATAAAATCTTCTTCTGTTAATATAAAGAGGTTTCTTTGATAGCAGTTTTCAGAAGAACTAGAATATCTAAAACTAAAAATAAATTTGAAAATAGTGTTTTTTAATTGAGGTAGGTTGAGTTGGATATATATTTGTTTAATCTTATTGAAATATTCTATAGATTTAACAGAGAAGTTATAGGCAGAATATTGTCTAATATACTAAAAATAAAAGTTTTAAAAATCAGGAATTACAGTTGTAGTTATAGAGTAACAAATTTCACAAGAATTATCTCGTTTAGTGATAGGTAGTTGAGTGATGTGTTCTTAGATATGTATAAATACTTTTAATAGGTATCTTTCAAAGTTAAATTACATGTACTATTAATTTAGAAACTGTTTGTCACAATGCAAACACTTATACTTTTATTTCTAAATTCTAATTTTTAGAAATTGATGAATATCTTTTTAATTTACTATAACAATAGACTTTGTCACTTAAAAGAAAGTTGTAGAAGGAGTCCTTCTGGTCCTAAAGGAGGTCAAAATGCTTAAATCGGTCTAGTAGTTGCTTAGATATAGGCATTTAAAGTTTACGTAATGATAGTCAAAATGTTTCTTCAAGAGAGGTTTCTTACAATTTCTTTGCAGATCAAAAATGTTGTTACTATCTTGATGTTAAATAGCAGGTTCTAGAGGGATTTTCTCACTAAGATATGCTTAGTTGAAAAGATGCGGTAGGTTTCAAGTGTATACTATTCAAATTTCAGGTCAAACCAACCAATATTAACAGAGTTTCCTTATGCTAACTAAACTCAATTATCTATGCTGAATTGAGAATTTATCTTACAGTTACCACCAAAATGTTAATCTGTAGATTTTTTTTCTTTAATTACAGTGATAACAGAAGCTGCTCAACTATAGTATAATAACTATAACTTGACAGGTTCTATACAAAAGTCTATACAAGACTTAACAAAATACAGAGTGATTTAGGATTTTAAGACAAAGGTAACAATAAATAATATATGAAGATACTAAATATTACATTCAGTTTATTAATTATGAAATGTATGAAGACACTTAACTTTCTTGAAGGATCAGAAAGTAGTGCTTTTATAGATATTTTACATGTATAAATTATTACAATAAAGACTACTCTATTGCTAATAAATATTATTTATAGTAATAAGAACTAATAAATATAATAGATATAATATATATAATAGATATAATAGATATAATAGGAGAAAACAGCATAACAGAGGTTCTATTTGATTGGTCACTTGATTTCCATCGATCAATTTGAATTACCAATAAAATTATAGCAAATTTGAAAAAACGTGAGTTTTGTGCTAACTTCACACATACGATAGCATTGTAATATACTTTAGAATTACTGTCATAGTTTAAACTGACTTGTTACAAGATATGTTTTATTTTAATTTAAACTTTGGGATCGAGTGGGATCAAGTGTTTTACAAAATTTTATAGTAGCTAATATTTTACTTTTACCAACTACTAATATTGTTAAATGCTAACAGGAAGGCATCGTTTTTCTCCACTGCTACTTCTTCCACCTTGTCATTGTCATCTTGAACTGGTTCTTTCGAAGTTTCTTGTCTTTCCTGCACTTCTTCATTGGTGAGTATATTGGGTCCTTTTTCCAATTGTTTTATAAAGCCATCAGCATTATGGTAAATACCCTTCTTATAGTACTCCTTACAATGATGGCAGCAATATTCCATAGCTATATAACAACCTTCATGGTAACCATGACTACAGACTAACACTTCACCATTATTTAAAACATCATGGCAATGATTACAGAGATTGGCTTTGGGAGGAAAACTTGAACTATAACCTAGAAGATGGTGTATAAAATCCAATTAAATATTATATAAAATATAAAAATGCAATTTTTATATGTAATACAAACATATCTGTGGGAAGACACTTAGTATTCACAATTTCATTTATCGTGACTAAATGATATTGCAATGGTTTGTTATTTTGAAGTTTGCTTTTTCCACGATTGTTATAAATTTTTTGTAAATAATCAAGAAGAAAAAGACCTGTTTTCTTTATTAAAAAATCCAAGGTTGATGGTGTATAAGGATATCGTCTTACTTTAAGAAAGGCATTCCGTAATTTATCTTCATTTTGCTTATCTAAAAAAAAAAAAAAAAAAAAAAAAATATTAATATTTAATAATTTATACATAAAAACTGCATACCAATTACATAAGCTTGTCTTATGATTTTTTTTGCTGATGAATTCTGAGAAGTTTGTGCATGAATTTTAATATGTAGATTCTCTACATAATACTTATTGAAATTTACTAAAAAAAGTTTGATTGCTTCTGCAAAAGGATGACCAATATCTTGCCAATAAAAGAAATTGGACAAAAATGCAAGTGGTGCTTTGTTATAATTATGATGCTGCCAACATAACATAAATGTCCAAATTCGAAATATTGTTTCTAAATATTCATCCAATGAACCAGATCTAAAAAGGAGAGCATAAATTTCTAATGTAGCAGGAATCAAATTATCTAAGAGATCAAATACCATTCGATATTCAATATCTTTGCAATTAGACCCAAATTTTTCTATTACTTTTTCTCTAATTTTACACACCCATTATGTGCTAATTCGAGTAATAAATTTATTTTCCATGGTCTGGGTTTTTTTGCCAAAATTTTTTTTTTTCCAAAAACAAAATGAAACAATTTTTGAAAAAAAAATTATATAAAATTACTATATGCTCTCTGCTATTTAAGAAAACATGTAACGGTCCTAATAGCAGAATGAATAAACTAATTTCATAAGGAATATTAAAAGAAAACTTATTTAAATTTGTGATTGCCTTACGAATAAAAAGTTGGCCTGGCCAATCTACTACAATTGGTGCTACTCGATTATATAAATGCCCAACATTCTTGTTAATTTTTAATAGCATCTGAAGTGCATTAATATAATCATACATTGAATGTAAATTTCTTTCCTGAAATCCAACTAACTGTATATTTTTTATAGATCGCTCCTCTTTTCGCTCAACTATTGCATCATTATAAACGTGAACTGTTAATAAATCAATCTTATCATAATCATTTTTATTTAAACTTTCCATTCATTGTAATCGTCACATTCCATATGAAATATCAAAAATCCTATTAAATTGAGTTACTAATCTAAAACAAATATTACTTGAATCAATATTCAATGGATTATGGATATTTGTATTGTTATAAGTAAGAGGAATTGGTGCACACATTCTCACAGGTTTATAAATACATGTAGCCATATGTTTTGCTGTTGATAGTATTGTTGAATCAGGATGTCTATTCTCATGAACATTATGATAATCATCTAAATTATATACAAACAAAATATTCATCTAAATAAATTAATACAAATTAGTTCCATTTTACATATATAAAAAAAAAAAAAAAAAAAAAAAAAAAAAACCAAAGTTATTATAAAAAACTGATGAATATTTCATAGATGATACTTTATAATTTTTTTCTTATAATAATTAACAGTTATACTATACACAGAAACACCTAGACTATGTAATACATCAATTGCTGAATATGGTAATCCACATAATGAAAGATACAACCCAACCTCCAATTCAAAGCTATTTACAAACTTATTTCTCATATTAGCCATCATATAACAAATGCTGATCACTGACTTTTTCGCTTCATTTTTAGTATATGTAGACCTCTCATTAGGAATTAGAGCTTTAACTATTTGGTTAAAAAATCCATATAAATGACAATCAGCATTCTCTATTATTGATTGGAAACGAGTATGGTCAAGTTCAATAAAACCGGGATGATCACATTGATATTTATAAAGAACCTTGGTAAGTATTTGAACCTGCTCCGCAAATGTGAGATTATGAATATCATAACTGCTTGTAACTGGTTTATTGTCAATAACATTTGTTGGTTTTATTTCAGTAAGATAATGTTTTTTTGAATGCCGATCTGGTTTTATAATATCTAAATAGTGACTATAACAAATCTCATCTCTGATATTTAGATAGCTATAATGTCCTAAAGTTCCCTTTTTTTTCATTTTCTCATATGCTAAAGAAGTAATTTTTCGAAAATTATTTGAGTCCCTATTGCAATCTCTTATTGAACAGGGTCCAGAATTTTTTCTAGTCATACTGACAGGTATATTGACGCAGGTAACAAATTTTTTTTTTTTTGATTTTTTTTTTTTTTTTATATCACTACTGCAATCATGGCAGCTATGAAACAACGATAACAAGGATTATAGCAGTTACAACGAACACTGCTACTGAGAAATTACAGCAGCTACGACAAACATGTCTACAGAGACGAACACAGAAGCTACGACGAACACAGTGGCTACAACGAACATGGCAGATACGCGAACACGGCTACTATGGTGACCACAATGACCACGATGACACAAAGACCACATCAACAACATGGCAACTACAACTTTGAAACTTTAGTTACAATAAAAAGCTTTAGCTATTGTGAAATCAAACTTGATCTGATCGAAGAATAAAAATTTTTTTTTTTGCTAATTTAATATTATTTATTGTCCAATCATAATCTAAAAAATCATGATCTGCAGGCTGCATTTCGCAGCCAATCAAATAGAATCTCTGTCATGCTGGAGAAAACTCTTTCTGCAAATCTATTGCACAAAAATTAACTAAAAAATTCGTTCATCTAAAAATACTTATAACTATTTATTTTACTATGATAATCTGTCTTAGGCTCTTAAGTAAAC